ATTTCCTTCCCATACTTCTCCGGCGTACTCTAGCGGCGGTACGATTACGCTCTTCAAAACCGTCAATTTGATGCGTGTATCGAGGTGCCGGTTTGCGAGTATTGGATGCAGCTTCCCTGCTCGTGATTTGCCCTTTTCCGCTACCTTGGACATGTGTGCATTCCACGAGCAGTCTTTTGCGATCTCTACTCCAAGGTATGTGTACTGGTCCACTACTGCAATCTCCTCGATCCCCCACTTCCATCTATGTTCCAAAAGAGAGATTGAGAAGGAGGGAGGGAGAAGAAAGGGAGATAAAAAAGGGACGGAGGGAAAGACGGAGACATAAACAAACCGACAGATGGACAAGGTCGCGAGTCGTCTGGTACTTACGCAAAAAGGAACATGCGTAATTAGGCGGCCACAGAAGGAAGCAAGAGAGGCACTTTTGGTGCACAATAGGTGTTGCGTGTCGACGATGAAACCCATTTTGAGGGCTGAGAGACGGCTGGCACACGATTCGTTTTCAGGCGGCCTCACACTGGAATGCACGCCACATTGCCAAAATTCCTCAGAGTGCGACGACCAGGAAAGCGGTCAGACCACGGACGTGCCAGGCGGATCTTTTTCCGTTCTAAAACGGCGGTTCCTCCGGGGTTTCTTTCAAAAATTCCGTGTGTTCACCCGTAAAACAAACAACAATCCATACCCCTTACCCGGGACACCGGGCGCTATCGTCAGGTTTTGGTTCACACAAGCGTGGGTTTCGGTTCATACAACGGTGAGTTTTGGTTGACACCAACCGTGGGTTTCCGTTCACACGAGCTGCCGTTATGATGTGGCGCTATTGTCTCTCAGTAGTGTAATGTGCACGCGACAGTGCATTTCTTCCTGGCAATTTGTTTGGCTTTGTTTGTCGCGGCATGCGTTGAGGACCGGTGTGGCTGTGTCTTCTCCGCGGAAGGTTCAAAGGTCTCTTGCCAGCTGTTTTATGGGTTTCCGTTCCGTGGACCTTCCGCTTCCGTGCTGGCGATGTCGCTGGCGTTTCATGGGATGCTTTGAGATCCGGTATTTGTTGCTTTGTGCGCGAGGGAACCTCGATGACTATCACGGTTGCGTGAATCCACTGTCTCACCTCGGGGGGAAACTTGAGCTTCCCATGGTAATGCCCGCCCTCGTACGGGGAGCCCTTTGTACCTGTGATGACGTAGTGCCACTCCAGAATATTGTTGTCCATCGGCATCGCCTGCAGACAGAGACAGACGGACACAGGACAATCGAGCGGAGAGATAAAGCACAAAACACGGGGACAGGAAGCGTCGAGAAAAAAAGTCCATCATGGAGCAGCCGCCGCCGTCTGTCAAAAAAAAAATACACAAATACATAAATGAAAATAGTACAATCGTAGCGAGAGCGACTCGTGGCAAAACAAAATTGCACTCGTCTGTTGCACAAAAAAACATATTGCACAGTCGTGAAGGGAGCAAGATTCCTCGCAAAAAACAAAAAATGGATGGACGGATGATAGCTTTTGCATAACAAAATCGTCGAGGGAGCAAGCCCCAAGCGGGGAAGGTCGAGATGAATCGTGGTGGAGATCAGACTGGTCGAAATGTGAAGACAACGACAATAACAAACTACAAATCAGCTTACAACGATATTGTCGATGGGGTTCCTCTTGATCGCCATCAGCTCCTTCCGCAGCCGCTTTGTTGCCATGTCCGAAGCCATGGTTCCCCCGAAGCTACCCCTGTCCTCTACCGCTGATGTCCTCCGTCCCTGCCACGCGCATTCACCGGGGGGGGGGGGGGGGGGGG